GCTGAACCATCACTTCTCATCAAAACTGTTGGTGGTCTGTGCAAATATGAGTCCCCTGAGGTGGGTTCCTAAAATTGAATTTTAGCTTTGGAAGGAACTTTAAGGAGCTTGTCAGCTGTTTACAGATGGAGAAACAAATAAGGAGAGTTAATTGCCTGAGCTGGTCTGCGAACCAGGTCTCCTGTGCCCGAGTCCGGTGCTGCATTGTATTGGTCCATCGTACCGGTCAGGGTCTGGGGCAGTGTAAGGAGTTGTTGGAAGCAAAGTCTTTGGAGGTGTGGACAGTCTCAGTTTTAGAATCAGGGTGATTGTGCACCTGCCTTAATCATTCATCAGCATATTGAACTTCTTTTTTAATATATAAAACCAGGACGCAAACATGGTAATTTATGAGAGACCAGAATACTCCCAAGTTTTTATCTCCAGGGCATTCTCTTCCTAACAGGAGACTTGAATGAGAAAACCAATCATAGTCAGAAATTTATTTGGTGAGCCTGAAATCAAAACAAGAGAATTTTTAAAGGCTCCCATCTCATGTAGGACTACATTGGCAGTGCTGTTGGAATTCTAGACTTGGAATTCATAATTGCTAACCTCGCTGGGACTTTAATATTGCCTGATGGTCATACCATATTTCCCTGGTCTGTTCACCCCGAGTCTCCTATGATTATTCGTCACCTGCCGCGCCTTCAACAACCTTCTGTCCCACTCTCTCTCTCAGCCGATGAACTTACTTCCTGTTTTGCTGAGAAGAATAGAAGGAATTAGAAAACTTCTTTAAGCTACCCCCATTACTTCTTCGCACTGACCTGTGTCTGTGCCATATTCCTTGCCTCCTCCCATTACAGTAAATAAATTCTCCATATTCCTAGCAAAAGCCACATGCTCCACTTGAGTCCTAAATCCCATTCCTTCTCCTCCTCAAGGACATCACTCTAATAATTCTCCCCTTATTTTCCGTTTTTCTCTCTATAAGGTTTTTTTTCCTAATAGCCTAGGAATGTGACTCTTAGACTCCCTCCGTTTAAATACTCCATTGTCCCGCCTTCCCACTCCAGTTATCTTCTCCCAATTACAACACATCTCCTCAGGATTACCTATTCTTCAAATTTTTCCTCTTTAAGCCCATTTCAGTCACAGCTTTTTCATCCCCACCACTTCACTAAAATTGCTCCTCTCAAGGTCACCGACGACCTTCACCTGGCTAAAGCCAGGGATGCATTTTCAGTCTTCGTTTGGATGGATAGCAGCATTTGATGCCATTTATCGTGTCCTCTCCTTTAAAACACGTTTTTTCTCATAGCTGCTTGGATGCTCCTCCCAGGTGTTCTCTACCATGCGTGTCACCTCTCAGCCTTTGCGGATTCACCCGCATCCTGAGCCCCGAGATACACTCGGCTCCTTGGTGATCTCACCTGGTCTCCTGGATTTACATTCATGTGTTTGCTGATGACTCCCAAATTATATCTCAGCCCAGACCTTTTGCCTGATCTGCGGGCTGGTCTGCCTCCTAAATGTGTCCAGCTGGATGTCTGATTGGCATCTAAACTCCACGTGTCTAAAGCTAAGCTCCTGCTTCCTCTCCTCATAGATCCTCCTGCTGCCTCCCCAGCTCAGTTAACTGCCCCCTTCCAGGTGCTCAGGCTAAACCCACAGCATCATCCTTGACGCCTTTCTCTCTTCACACCCCATATCCAGTCAGCCAATCCCACTGGCTTTACCTTCAAAGTGTTTCCCACCTAGAGTCCGACCACTTCTCCCCCTCGTCCACTGCCACCACCTTGATCCAAGCCACCATCATCTCTCACCTGGACTTTGCCATGGTTCTCTTAATTGGTCCCCCTGATTCTGCCCTTGTCCCCTTCAGTCTGCTTAACACAGCAGCCAGGGTGACCCTGTTGAGTGGAAGTCAGATCGTGTTACTGCTCTGTTCAAACCCTCTGGTGATTTCTTGGCTTGCTCAATAATTACAGTGGCCAACGGTCTGCACCCCCTTCACCCTTTCAACTCATCGTCGCCTCCTTCCTCAGTGCATCCCAGCCCCAGAGGCCTTGCTTCTCCCTCAGGATCTTTGCCTGAAAGCTCTTCCCCTCAACACTGTCTGACTCGCTCCTTTACTTCCTTCAAGTCCTTACTCAAATGTCACCTCCTCGGGCTTCCCTGGTGGCGCAGTGGTTGGGAGTCCGCCTGCCGATGCAGGGGACACGGGTTCGTGCCCCAGTCAGGGAAGATCCCACATGCTGTGGCGCAGCTGGGCCCGTGAGCCATGGCCGCTGAGCCTGCGCGTCCGGAGCCTGTGCTCCGCTATGGGAGAGGCCACAGCAGTGAGAGGTCCGCGTACCGCAAAAAAAAAAAAAAAATGTCACCTCCTCAATGAAGCCTTCCCTAATCACTGGGTTTAAAATTGCCAGCCCAGGGCTTCCCTGGTGGCGCAGGGAAAAAAAAATTTTTTTAATTGCCAGCCCCTCCCCCCACTCCCCCATCCCTGTCCAAGCTTTATTTTCCTACAAAGCACATTTAATTGTCTAACGTAGGTCTTTTACTTATTTGTTTTCTTTTTTCTTTTTTTTAAATTTATTTATTTTTGGCTGCATTGGGTCTTTGTTGCTGAACGCGGGCTTTCTCTAGTTGCGGTGCACGGGCTTCTCATTGCGGTGGCTTCTCTTTTCGAGGAGCAGGGGCTCTAGGTGCGCAGGCTTCAGTAGCTCTGGCATGTGGGCTCAGTAGTTGTGGCACGCAGGCTCTAGAGTGCAGGCTCAGTAGTTGTGGCACGCAGGCTCAGTAGTTGGGTTACACGGGCTTAGTTGCTCCGTGGCATGTGGGATCTTCCCAGACCAGGGCTCGAACTCATGTCCCCTGCATTGGCAGGCAGATTCCCAACAACTGAGCCACCAGGGAAGCCCTACTTATTTGTTTTCTGTCCCCCCTCCATAGTGAGCTGCGTAAGGACAAGGGTGCGTCTCTTTTTATTCACTGCTGTGTCCTTGGGCCTCGAACAGTGCCTGTCACTAGTAGGTGCTGAATAAATTTTGATTGAATTTAAGTAGAGGATTATTTTCACTTTTCAAGATGAAAGCTGCAAGCAATGAACTAAGTTCTTACGTGTCCAATTTCCCCCTGCAGTGATAGAGCTGTGTGTTCTGTATGGACAGAATGAGGAGGGAATGGCTGGCGAGCTTATAGCCTTCTGCACCAGCACACGTAAAGACTGCCTCACCTCAGAGACCCTAAACTCTTTTGAGCACGAGGTAAGAACAAACTAAAAAAAAAAAGAAAAGAGAAGAAAAAAGAACAAACTGTAGGCAAACTGATAACGTAACTCCGTGTTTACTCATTCGGGAGACAGTGCGCTGTATTGAGAAGAGTGTGGGCTTTGAAAGAGTCGGGCCTGGATTTCAGTCCCAGTGTGAGCTTGGACCAACTAACCTAATGGCTCCGAGCCTCAGTTTCCTCTCCTCTCAGTGGTTCTCTTGATCTGTACTTTTGATGGTTATTGAATGAAATGAGAATGGACGTAAATCACCTAAAACTGTGTCTTCAACAAATAATTGGTGTTAATATTAGAACTGTTATGTGTTGTAGTGAAACAGTCACGGGTGAAGTCTTTAATTTTTGGTCTATTGTGCATCTTCTGCATTCTTCCTTTGCGGAATTTTATGTCTTTGATTATGTTTCAAATGCCCATTATTACCTCATGGCTGTGGGGAACGCCTCCTCTATTACTTGACTATGGAGTAATATATTCATTATCTTTTCTTCCTCAGTTTCTGAGCAAAAGATTGTCCAAAGCCAGGCTCGGTGCCTCCAAGGACAGCGGGCATGCAGGAGCCAGAGACATCGTTTCCATACAAGAGCTGTATCCTTTTCTGCTCAAGGCCTTTCCATCAAACCACATATTATATTTCATCATTTATCTATCGTTATTGTTATCTATTGTCATCATTGCATTATTGTTACCTGTTGCATGTATAATTTTAGAAACAAGCAGCAAATGTAACTAATACTCAGATTTCTTTTTTGATCAACCCTTGCCTTAGATTTTGGGTGGAAGTTTATTGTTTCTCTTAACCGGTGTTCTTAGAATTGAAGTGGAGGAGGAAGAGGAGACCCTCTTGAACGCTTACACCACACCCTCTAAGGTGCGTGTGCTGTGTTTGGAAATTGCATTCTACACATAGCATTTTTTTCTTTAGTCTAAAAATATCAGCACAGCATTTGAAGTTCTAAGGGAGAAAATTCACCACTCATACAGTTTCCTGCTCTACTTCCACTTATGCATCTTCCTTTCCGATCACATGCATAGATGTTTTTGCATGATGGCAGTCCTTGTGGACACATGGTTGTCCTGCTTTCTTCAGTTATCATATCATAAAATTTTTATAAATGCAATTTCTCCATAATTACTCTCTTTTAATGGTTGCCTAGTTTTGTATCAAGTGGACTGTAACTGAATGATCCGACTTGGGTGTTGGACCCCAGTGTGAGAGGTGGAGTAGGGCTGTGGAAAAGCATTGCCCTCCATGCCTGAGTCAGAGACCTTGGTGACCTTGAGTGAGTTGCTTTTATCTCACTGAGCTGCCTTTTCCTTTCCTTTAAAATCAGGATCCATTCATTCATTTATTGAGCAGCTACTATATGCCAGGCACTGGCTGAACTGGTGAATGAAACAGGTTTGAGTGTGCTCTGCCCTCAAGAAGCTGGCAGCCAGCGCCAATAATATCTCCTATCTCAGAGGGCTTGAAAATTAAATGAATGTGTAAAGCGCCAAGCCCAAAGCAATGTATTCAGTAATATCAATAGTAGTTACTCTTTATAGAAAATACATTTGTGGAAATCCTTAACCAGAGAGTAAGCCTTAATCTTTCAAAGTAAATTACATTGTAAGAAAGAAGGTGAATAGTTTATGTGTGCCTATACAGAGCAAGAAAGCTAAAATGTTCAGTGTTTTGGAGGACTGACTCATGGTAATTCAGCTCTCAGTAGACTGAGGCATAAGTCAGATGCAAATTCACTTAATTTACTGTTGAAGTATACACCCTTCTGATGGCTGAAATGCCATATCGAGGACACCCCATTCCTGC